CTAAAAGATGTCAAGTCAACTTCATCATTTCTGCTCTTCTCACTTCCCCTCACAAAACAACCAACAGTTTCTCCTGTGTTTCCTCCTTCAGTGAGCGGTGCCATCATTCTTCCTTCACTCAAATTGAAAATCCAGGACTCTTTCTTCTTCCTCATCTGTCTCATGCAGTCCATCTCCTAAAATGTTTCCAATCTTTCCACCCCTCTCTCCCTGCATTGCCACTGTCCTGACTCAGGTGCTCATTATTTCTACTCTGGAATTTGGAAATATCTGATATTTTCTTTTCCCACTCTGTCATCAGTGTTGTTAAAAGAAAATCTGGCCGATGAGGCCAACAAAATAAAGATTTCAAAGATGACTAAACATGGGTCATTATTTTTATAAGCTTAGCAGGTTATTGCAGTGGGTAGCTAGGCTTGAGAACCAGAACTGGACTAGAAAATTTCAAATGCCCTAGCCAGATCGAGAAGGCCTTTGTGATCTTGGATGCCTCATCATCTGCTTCTGACTTTATAGTAAATAATAAGCCACTTGTTGTTGTTGTTGTTATGTGCCGTCGAGTCGGACCCAACTCATAGTGACCCCTCCTTGGGTTTCTGAGGCAGTATCACTACGGAAGTAGATTGCCCAACCTTTCTTCCGAGGAGTGGCTGGAGGGTTTGAACCACCAGCCTTCTGGTTAGCAGTCAAGTGCCTTAGGCACTATGCTACCAGAGCTCCTCTTGTTGTTCTTAGTTGCCATGTAATTAATTCTGACTCACAACAACCCAATAGGTGCAGAGTCGAGCTGCTGCATAGGGTTTTTCATGGCTGTGACCTTTGGAAGCAAATCCCCAGGTCTGTGTTCCGAAGCACCTCTGTGTGGGTTTGGACTGCCAGCCTTCTGGTTAGTGGTCCAGTGTGTGACCGTTTGTGCCACCCAGAGACTCCTGAACTACTTGAGCTTTACTTTCATATTGTTCTTGTCATTGCTAGGTTTTATGCGTTGCTCTGTGGGGACTCCTCCACCAGAAAGGTGCTGAATGAAAATGTACAGACTACCTAAACCACTGGCTATAGAGTATCATTTTATAGAGTGTTATTTTATCCTGTATCTTGGTAGCTGCTGAGATCTAAGAAACCTCTGGTAGGTTTGAGTTGACTCCATGAGAAACCTCCGAAACGTTTTTGGCTTCCATGCTTCTCTGTGTTCCCTTTCCCTTCTTGTCAATTTCCTCTCACCCAATTGCAGGTCCTCTGAAGATCTTATAAATAAGCTAGTATCATCTCAGAGCTTTTTGTAACGTCAGGCATCTGTCATTCGGAACATGGTTCCACCTTCTGCCCTGGGGGGCATTTGCCCTGCTACTGTGCTACACTAGCCCTCAAGAGACTTTGCCACTCACAGTGGCAATGGGAGTGGCAGTCAGGTAGATACTCAGTTTATGATGGGCTTTTACATATGGTGTCTCCGTTTGATCCTCACTGTACCATATGAAGTAGGCAGGAAACCATTACCTCTCTAGTTTACAGATGCTAAGACAGAGGTTCCTTTCATTCTTATTAACTCTGAACATATGTGAACTTGATTGTCTACTGATTATGTATTGGTGGAGTCTCTGATGCACATCTCAAATCCTGTAAGACTGAGTTAGGATGGACCATTACTTAGAGAGCTTGACTGGCATGTTTTTTTTGTTTTTAGAAGCATGGGGACAACTCATAACTCATCATTTGAGGAAGTGATTTCAGAATAATTACTCAATATTGGAATTTTCCAGGCCCCATTTTCCCTTTTGTTAATGCATTCTCATCTTTCGTTAGTTTGACACTTCTGTGAAAGAGAAGGAAAGGGAGAATAAGGAAAATCTCTATGTGGTGGTTTTACTTGTCGATTTTCTGAGCACTGTACTTCCTTAAAGGCGCTCTGGTGGTGTAGTGCCTAAGGCATTTGACTGCTAACCAGAAGGCTGGCGTTCAAACCCACCAGCCACTCCTCAGAAGGAAAGTTGGGCAATCTACTTCCGTAGTGACACTGTCTCCGAAACCCAAGAAGGGGTCGCTGTGAGTTTGATCTAACTTGATGGCAGTGAGTTTGGTTTTGGTACTTCCTTAAATTACTTGATAGAGCCTTGAAGATCTAAACACAGAGTGTTAGGACACTGCAGTGGCCTGATCACAGAACTGAAAACGTTTCTTTTAGTGAAAAAGAGAAATGACTCCAAGGTCCTCAGTGAAGTGTTCACATATATTAACTCGTGTGCAAAGCCATGGAGTTTTCCCACTTCCTGTCTCTGATCTAGGAAGAATCTGCAATTTTGGTCTAAAAGGAAGGCCCGTGGGCTAGTTTCTAGGGCCATGATTCTTTCTGGACAAACCTTACTCTTTTTTTTTTTTTATTTTAAAATTAGAAGAAACTATAAACAACAAATAAGAAGCTCTGTTGGCACAGTGGTTAAGTGGTTGGCCGCTAACTGAAAGGTCGGTGGTTCAAACCCACCAGCCCTCCCAGGAATAAAGATGTCTGTCTGTGCCCATGAGGATTACAGGCTTGGAAACCCTGTGGGGCGGTTCTGTTCTGTCCTATAGGTTCACCGTGAGTTGGAATTGACTTTGACGGCAATGGTTTATAAACAACAAATAAGCATATTTGAATTCTGTCATTTTTGAACAAACTCTGACAACGTGAGTAATAATGTAAGAATAAGGATGTTCACTCTCTGCCTCCTGGAAGGAGATACCTGCTGCTACTATCTAATCAAGATCTCACTGTATTTGAGCTCAATTAGAGCTTTGATAAAAGAAAGGAGAAAAGAAACTTGAAAGAATGTTCTCCCATTCATGAGGGGCCTGCATGTTTTTCGTTTCCAAGTAAATGGAATAATGGGACCATGCATTTTCCATCCAAGCATTTTCCACCCTGAGAATAATTCCCTTCCTGGCTTCTCAATGAGTAATGCATTATTTCTGAAACCCAAGAGGCATTCCTTTGATTTTGCTTTATGTTTAGCTTTCTGAGTGAATTTCAAGCAAGGAAATTCAAGGACTTGGAATGAATGCTCTATTAACATTTTCACTTGAAGTTCAAATAACTTCTTGGCTATTATCTTCTGATATTTGAAATATTTTTTTCTCTCTCAGGAAAGTCTAAGGTATTGCATTTATTAGAAAATGAAGCACCTTGGACTGTCTTCAAAGTGAACAGCAGTTAAAACCAATCCACGTTCGTGTTGTAGAACAAAGAGCTTTATGGGGGTACTTTGCCCGCTTCTTTATTTTCATTTCCCTGCTGAAAAAGTTCAAGAAAGAAAACTCACATTCAAAACTGGGCTGTTTGGAGACTAATTCTCATTTGTTTACATTTTGTGAAACTTATGCCTTGAGGTTAGTTGAAGTCTAAGACCCCAGTCCAAACCTGTGCCCACCTCAGCCAGCCACTGTTTCAATCCATAGATTCCAGTGGCCTGCTGGCATCATCCCTATGCTCTGCCTGCTCATTGTATGGCCTGATTACACATGTGGTGCCCATTAGGTGACATATAATGGGACATGATGGGGCCCAAGGGCCCCATTGACTCATGTCCTTTCAACCAAAGAACCCCAGCAAATACTGAGATAGTGTGGAAGTAGGGTATAATGCTGTTTCACAACCTCCATTTCCCTAGGAGCCCAATGGTAAGTGATCTCAGGAGCTAAATAAAATGGAATTAAGAATCTAATCTATATTTCCATTTCTCTTACAATTAGGTCTGGTGAGGTAGTGGTTAATACGTTCAGCTGCTTTCCAAAAGGTAGGTGGTTCAAACCCACCAGCCACTCCACAGGAGACAGATGAGGCAGTCTGATCCTGAAAGATACATAGCCTTGGAAAGCCTATAGGGCAGTTCTACTCTGTTTGGTAGGGTCACTGTGAGTAGGAATCGATTTGATGGCAGTTGGTTTGGTTTTGCTTTGGTCTTAATGGTTAGAGTAAAATCTTAATGATTTAAAATAGTTGGGGGAAGAAAGAACAAAGCTGATCTAGATTAGTAAAACATCTAAAGCATACAATTTGGTTTAGGATACTTACTAGTTTCAAGAAATGAAAGTATAATGTAGTATTTTCTAGAACATGGACCCTGTAAGAATGGAAACTCTGGGATTGGTATCCTGACTTTCACTTTCCAGTACTGTGGCTTCGAGCTAGTTCTTTAACCTTTCAGGGTTCACGCTCCTTGTCTGTACAACAGGGATAATTGTTTCTCTCATACGGCTAGAGTGGAGATTAAATGAGTTAATATTTGTAAAGCACATAGGAAAGCACTATTGTAAGTAATTGTTGAATAAAAATAAAAGTAAACATAAATGTTATCATGGGAAATTGTATTTCCTAATCAGCCTATGCTACTGAGCAGATAATAACAATATTGTCGATGGTGCTAATACTGAATGGTTATTACCTTAGCACTTAGCACTCATTCAATGCTTAAAACAAACTTAATAAGGTAAATATGATCAATTTTTTTTTTCAGATGAGAAAACTAAGGTAAGAGAAGTAATTTCCTTAGTTCACTCAGTTTATTAAATGGCAAAGCAAGAATTTGAGCCCAGGCATCCTGAATTCAGAAACTGAGCTTTAACTAAAACATTAAGGAATATTTGTCATTAATGCTTATCTTTCACCCGAAAGCAGTCATATGCTGTTATAAACCATGTCTCCACTCAGGAGACACAATGCAGTTTTTCATGGCTCGTTTGCTTATCAAACTCTTCATTTTTGCTCAAAATAATCAACACCAGTGACTCATATATACTCAGTAGGATCGGAATTAATGAGGTTTTATTGATTATTTTGTCGTCATTAAAACTTTTTCTGATTATATCAGAAAATGAACATTTGACTTGAAATGATTATCTAGTAGCTTTGAATCTCAGTATTTTTATGTTTAGATCACTAACTGAAAGTCTTTATGGTCGCTTGTTTTATAATTATCTTTTTTTTTCTTCTTTTTGAATCCTTATCCCTGTCTGTGTCACTGTAGGTGCCTTTATCATCTGCTGGACTCCTGGACTCGTCTTGTTACTTCTAGATGTGTGCTGTCCACAGTGTAACGTTCTGGCCTTTGAGAAATTTTTCCTTCTCCTTGCTGAATTCAACTCTGCCATGAACCCCATCATCTACTCCTACCGCGACAAAGAGATGAGTGCCACCTTCCGACAGATCCTCTGCTGCCAACGCAGCGAAAACACCAGTGGCCCCACGGAAGGCTCTGACCGCTCAGCTTCCTCTCTCAACCACACCATCTTGGCTGGAGTTCATAGTAATGACCACTCTGTGGTTTAGCGAGGAAACTAATGATGAAAAGCCAACCATCACCCACTGAGGGATGAACAGCCACCCCCTACCAAACTGCAAAGGCAAGGTCAGGTGTGAAAGAGGAAGAAGATGAACTCATGTACTTAAACACTAACCAATGGCAGTATTTGTTCCTAGACCCCACAAGACTTGATATATATTGAAAATTAGCTTATGTGACAACCCTCACCCTAATCCCCATTTCTTTTGAAAGTAGAAAGTGGAATCCTTGTAATGGAATTCATGAATAGACTTTGGAGCATCCATTTAGACTACACTAACTAGACTTTAAAAGGTTTTGTGTGGTTTGGTGCCAGTCAGATAAGAGTCTGACTTATTGAATCCACAACTTCATTTACATATAGGCTCCCTCCCTCCCTTTTTTTTTTATCCTCAAAAGATATATTTCATTTAATAAACATGTGTTTATACCTATCAGCATGCTTGTGATGAACAAGACTATAGCCTTTTTTTGCTAACTACCATAATTCCATTTTTCCCTTATGTAGAAAAATTGTAAATTAAAATCATTTTTTTAAGAAAGCATGCATATAATGTATATATGCAATATGCCTTAAAAAGATAAAAGGATACTAATTGTAAAATTTTCTAGAAAATAGAAGAACCTATGTCAGTGCCATACTTGTTAGGTTATGAAACAAACAATGCTCTCATGACATTACATTTATGACAAAAAGAATATGTACCCTAAAAAAGTCGTAGAAGGTGAAGACCAAATAAACCAAAAATACTGTTCCTGCATATTTATGACACCCAAGTGCATTCTAATAACCAGTACATCAGAGGAATTTTTTAATAGCCTGTTTTTTTTAGATTGTAATATCATACATATTCATTATAGAAAACTTAAAAAATATAGAAATGTATAAGCTCTGGTAGCATAGTGCCTAAGGCACTTGACTGCTAACCAGAAGGCTGGTGGTTCAAACCCACCAGCCACTCCTCGGAAGGAAGATGGGGCAATCTACTTCCGTAGTGATACTGCCTCGGAAATCCAAGGAGGGGTCGCTATGAGTTGGATCTGACTCGACGGCACATAACAACAATGACAACAAAAGAAAGAAAAAATAATTACTGATAATCTCACCACCCAGAAGTAGCCACCATGAATAGCTTCTTCCCCTTCTCTATGCCTATATGTATAGTAGGTACTTCTTGACATAAGTAGGATCTTACTATAAACAGTTTTGTAACCAGATTTTTTTACTTCAGCACTGCCACATTTTCCTATGGTGTTAAAAATTTTATGAAATGTAATTTGAATGGCTATGTATTGTTCCATTTAATGGATGGCACTCAGTTTATTTAACCATTCCCATATCTAGGTTATTTCTAATTTTCACTATTATAAATAATGTTTCAAAAATTTTGTGTACATAAAACTTTGTCCATATAATTGATTATTTACTAAAAACACATTCCCATGAAGGATTTTTTTTTTTTAATGTGAAATGCCTTTTTCTGGTTTTACCTTTTATAAAAAAGAATTTCCTGCTTTTGCACTGCGTGCATGGCGATTGTGAGGAAAGCCAGCTAAATTACCTTTTTACAAAAGAAATGTAGTGGCAACTTCAGTTGAGAATGACTTTTTGTACAAGAAGATGGACTAGACACAGTCAACTGTTACACATAGCCAGGACACCCTAATAATCATGTTTAGAAGTTCCAAACGTTGTTTAAAGGACCGATTCTCCAGTTCTTGGTAGCCACAACTATGATGCAGAATTGAAGAAGATGCAAAGGCATCAAATGTGCCAGGGGAATAAAGGATTAGCATATACATAGCTTGGGTAGCATGTATTCTCCAGGAATCTCCATATTAGCTGATGCCGGTTTAAAACATTGTCCAAATATACTGGTGTATGAATACAGTTAGCTGTAGTAAGGAGCGAGCTAAGTAACAGTCACAGAGGAGGTCAGGGAAGTCTGGAGTGTGTTGAAGGGAAAGATGTCCAGAAGAAGAATGGCAATTTAGGAAGAAGGAAGTTGGTGCACAGTCAGTGTTTGAGCAATGGGCAGACGGAGCAAGTGCCTACAGTGAAAAGGGTGTGAAGGGATTCACCCCTTGGTTAGCACCAAGGTGTTTGCACATACTTTATAGAAAATAGAGTGCATTCTGTATTGGAAGTGGAAAAATGAACTTGAATTTTTAGTCATGTGCATATATTCTGAAGAAGATATGGACTATTTGAAATAATAAAAATACTAATTGGACCTTAATAAATCATTGTCAATCAGTATTGGGTAATGTGTGGTCAGTGGGCTTCTCTCGTTGAGGTCTTTGGACTTGGCTTGCGCTGTGCTTTCCCTCCCTGACTTCCTCGATTCCCTGCTTCAAGGGTGGTGAGCTCTGAAATGAAACAGCCATGTGCTCCCCAGGCCAGAGCTGCTTTTGTCAGCTTGAATAGTAAGTTCTTTCAGTGTCCCCAGTTGGTGGTTTAATGTTCCATGAAAAGGGAGGAGGAGGTGTTGGGGTGATATTTGACCTTAACAGGTAACAGGACTTTAACAGGATAAGTTCAAGTGAGTTTCTTTTGAAAAACTCAGATTTTATAAAAACTTAGGATAGCTTTATGAACAACTCACTGAGAGCTTATGTAGTCACAGTGGACTTTATGCTTTTAATATTTCATAACAAGATAAAAGGTGTGTGTGTGTACATATGTATCTTTGGATTATATGTCAGTTTTATTCTCAGTATATCGCTAAGATATTGGAAAAATAAAATGCTAATTCAAATGAATGTTTCCATGACTATTTGGAAGGGAACTGTGAATATGATATTTAGGTGGATGCAAGGTTGTTAGATATTAAAATATCTTAAAACTCTTCCTTTGAAATTAGCCACCCCTTATGAATCCCCTTATTTTATTATTCAAACCATAATTTCCTAGACTCAGAACCACAGCTAACTTTATCCATTTAGTGAGTCTTGTTAGTTTGTCTTTTCTCTTTCCCAGTTAACTACTGTTTTAGGCTCTACTGTTCTTGTAATTTATTCCATTGGCCTCTAAACTTCTGAAATACTATATGTGTATTATTATTGTAGTCCCTTACCTTTAGTCTAGGGTTTGCACTCCTGCTATGTAAATATTGTAGAAACACTTCTTTAACCAGGTTACCAAGCTAAGCAGGACATTTTTGTAAGTAGATGTCTTGATCCAAATTACTTATTTTTTAATACCAAATGAGCTTTACCTGATCCCAAACCCCCATACGGACTGGAATTTGTGGGTTAGGATCTAGGTACCATTTGACACAGGAGCCAGAAAGGATTATGAATCTACCCAAGCAGGTAGATTGTTCACTCTTTAAGCATTCACCTGTATCTTGAGTAGCTTATGAGTCAGATTTCTAATTTTCCCCTTAAAGTCAAAATACTCATATCTACAGATTTTTAAAAAATATTTCTGTTGAGAATATACACAGCAAAACATATACCAATTCAAGTTTATATATGTGCATTTATGTGACATTGATTATGTTCTTCAATTTGTCAGCCATTCTCACTCTCTTTTTTTGAGTTGTTGCTCCCCATTACTGTAAACTCACTGTCTCCTCAGGTCTGTCTAATCTTTAGAGTTGCTGTTACCAGTTTGATGCCTTATAGATAGATCATAAGAGAGTGTGAGCTCCAGGCAGGCATTCTTTACGATTTAAAGTATTACTTGGTTTTTAAGAAGATTTTTTGGTTTAAAGTTTAAATGTGAGTGCAATAGGTTCAAGAGTTCATCCAGTCTCTGTGACTCCAGAATGTTTGGATTCCATGAGAATTTAAACTTCTGTTCTGCATTTTCTCCATTTTGATCAGGATTCTTCAATAAGATTCTATGAAATATAAAATTCTGTAATTTTACAGAATTCTATAAAACATTTGACCAAAATGTTCAGTAATGGTGGTTGGGTACGATCTAGTTCTTCTGGTCTCAAAAGGAGGCAGAGGAGGCAATTGTTCATGGAGGCTATTAATCTTGTTAATGATATGACCTATACTAGTGCCCATTTAGGAGCTCTGGTAGCATAGTGCCAAGACACTTGACTGCTAATCAGAAGGCTGGCGGTTCAAACCCACCAGCCACTCCTCAGAAGGAAGGTTGGGCAATCTACTTCTGTAGTGATACTGCCTCGGAAACCCAAGGAGGG